TAAAAAACATCTTCCATTTATTGGCATCACTTTTCTTTAAACTCTTCAGTTTTTTTTTATTGATTCAGGACTTCTTTCTCTCGGCCATTATCTGCAACCATTATCTTATCCTCACCAGGGCTCTGTTTATTTATTCATTCTGATGACTTACTCCACAAAGTCAGAGCCAATTTGGATTTGGATTTGGCCATTGCTCCCTTTTGGCCTTCTTTTGTCTCTCAGCAAATGCGGGCTTCCTTTTTGGCTGCCCAGCAAATGGCAGTGTCGACATGTCCTGGGAACTATTCCAAATTCCAAAACGTCGTCTATGGCATACATACAAATGTCCTTTTTACTAGGCCCGTTCTGGGGTTTTGCTTATTTTTGGGAACCCGAAAACTACTGCTGACCGCAGACCCAGAAACTCCGTTGTGCTGCCTTCGTTTCGGTTTCTTGGTTCTTGGTTTTGGTTCCGGGATTAGGATGCACAATAATTTCAACAATTACTACTTGAATGCAATGTTTATGTTCAATTATCGTGGGCAGCACTACTGACCCATGGATGCCCTGGATGCGAATGCGGAGGACTCCTTTCGGGTCGTTGCAGTTCATTGATTGACATTTTTATTATGCATATTCGCTGGTCTGTTATCCTTGCTACGCTTCCTTCCTTCCGCCGCAGTATCCTTCCCCTGCCAATAACAATAAATTTCCAATTTGTCTTTGGCATTGGCCATAATGACGTCCACAAAAGAGACCTTAATCCAATAGATAAATTTCGAGCATGCCCTGGCTTCTTGGCCAGTCCTTTTAGTCCTTTTGGTTTCACGACTCCCACGACTACCACGATTCCATCGGCTGGCTGTTGCGGACAGTCTCATTACTTGTCCATTATTATTGGCCTTCATTCTCAATCAATTTTTCAATTCCATTCCCATCCCCATTGCCATTTGCAATTGGCCCGTCAAGTTCTGTTTGCCTCTTTATCGTCCTCTACACAAATTTGCATTTCGCCTTGGGTATCCTTGACGCCCAGTTCAGTTCCGGCATTTCTCGGCTTGTTTTCTGCAAAATTTGTAATTTGTTTAAGGAGGTAAATTAAAATGTTTAAATAAAATATTAAAGCATTGAATTTCACTTGAACGAAATTGTTTAAATATCCTTGGAGTTTCTCGCTAGGAGTTTCTTCTCATAAAAACTCTTAAAAAATTAATAAAGAATTTCATAATATTCCATCAACAAACATCCAATTTTCTGTATTCGTATGCAATTTCAGGATATTTTACAATTTGAATAAAGTTATAAAAATTAAAAAAAAAAATATTTATGTTGTTTAATTTCAATTTAAGTTTAATTTTTCCAAAAACGGTAATTGAGAATAATTGAAATTTGTTTAATAGTATTAAAAGTTAAATAAGGAAATGTTAGGAATAGAAGACAACCTCCAAAAATTTTTTTTTAATTTTTAAGAAATAGTTTGAATTTTATTTCACAAATTATATTTTAAATTTGTATTATTTTTTTTGCAGAACCAATAACCGACACTTGGAGTTCTTTTCAGGATTTAGACACTCAACCAGATCCCAGCCTCCTCTTTGCATCTGCTTTCTGAGAAGCTGCTTGAAAGACGCGCCCCTGGCCGATGATTAGTCCTTAGATCCTTGGGCAGGATAAATATGCTGGGAAAAACACACGCATATCGCGAAACATTTGGCGGAACTTGCGGACGACAAGTGTTTGAAACAAAAAGTCGCGAAATGAGAGGAAAACTCCGGGAAGCGGAAAAAGGACACCTTGCGGGGCGGCGGCGATGGGAAGCGCAAGTGGCGGACGGCGGAATTTCCTGATTCCCCGATTCCCGCATATGTTGAGCACATGTTTGCTTGGATGGAGGAATTCCCCGGGTTCGTTTTGGGCCAGGAATCAACGTCCTGCGTGGGAAAAGCCCACCCACGCCCACTCGGTTACCTGTTTTCTCTTTTTTTTTTTGGGTGGTTGGGTGACCTTGTGGGTCCACCACCATCCAAGGGAGAGATGCGTGTCTGGCACAATGAAAATCCAGCGTTTAGTTGGAGAACTCAACCGAGCGACCTGAGGGAACGTGGGAAAAAAGGATTTACGATGAAGATGATTCCCAGCCGAGAACTGGGAACTCAGAGCTGAGAACTGAGAACTGAGAACTGTTGACGTGCCTGGTCATGGCCATGTAATGCAACTGTGTTTTTGTAACTGCTTACCTGTTGCACACACGCACATGTTAAAAAGTCATCATAAATCTCAGTCGACGAGGACTCTCTACACAGAAAAAAAACAACATATCAGATTAATATGTGTTGGTCAATTTTTTCTTTTTTTTTAAGATCAATTTGTTCATATAATTTTCATATGAATAAAGATTATGCTTATCCAATTTTACATTATTTCTTCAAAAAATACTTAGAAATTTGGTATTTTATATGATATTGTAAAAATATCAAGTTAATATGATTGAATCATAAATTTGACATAAATCTTATCGGATTTTTATTAATATGAAATAAGGTAGAATTGACCCTATATCATATCGAATTTTTTTCTGTGCAGATTTTCCCTCGCTGTGAAAATATTTTCACCTTTTCACTTTTCACATGCGGGAGTTCTTCTTCTCCGACGAACGATGATGACTGGCCAGGATGGGATATTTGTCTTATCTATCAGATCTGTGTAAATTCCCAGCTTATCATGCAAAACACGTAATACCACTGATCCTTTTGCCAGGCAGCAGGAAGTTAAAGCCAAAGCTGCTACTCCTTTTGTGCAACATGCCGTGACCTTTCCCGCGAACTCGTGACTGCAACGGCTTACGGCTGCCTAATAATTTGTATAAATATTTATTTTTGCTACCGATTTCTATCTGTTCAACGCCTCCGAGGGAGCTGAGGAAAAAAGGTGTGAAATTTAAAACCCCCTGACCATCATGATCTCCTACCGGGAATCGGGGAATCAAGGGGAATCATCAGAGGGTTATGGGTTTCGAGTTCAAATCCGGGACATGTTCTGCATAGCTGAACTTCTTGATTTGCATTTTTAGGTCAGTTGGCTGTGTGGCACGTTCCCCAAAATCAATAAAAGTCGAGGGAAAAACAATTAAGATTTAGTTATTGCATAAACCGTTAAGGGGTTTTTCAGGAATTTTGGAAATAGTTTTAAGCCTTTGAATGAATAAACTAAAAATAAACCCTCAACAGTTTTAAAGTTTTAAACCTCAAAAAATTTTAAAAATACTCAACGAGAAATCAGGTATTTGGCTATTCGAAGTAAGTATTCGTAAACAGCTGTTTATTCAAAAAACTAATTACATTTAATTGCCTAATGGCATTGATTTAATTATTGACAATTGGTTGAAAGCAAGCAGACTTAGATAAACCGTCTTTTAATCGGAAGTTCATCATCATTATCATGCTTCATTCAAAAGCATGATGTGGTTTTATTCTTCTCCTTAGAAATGGCCAAATGAATAGCAATAGTAATACAAATGGTATACAAATGAAAGCACTTTCTCTAATTGCAGTATTGCTTAAAGTTCAATATCAATATTTTGTTGTTCTATGAAAGAAATATCATTAAATCATTCATTTATATTTTAATCAAATTGAGAGGTCGTATTTAATGTTGTGCCTAGAAAACCCCTTTTAAAAAAATGTATTTATGTAAAACCTAAAATTTATTTTAATAAACCCCGATTTCTAAATTCCTAAAATTTTATTATCAATAATTTTTATCAATGCAGAACATTGAATCATAAAACATTTTATTACAAAACAAGAGAGAACGCTATAGTCGGGTGCCCCGACTACCAGATACCCGTTACTCAGCTAAAGGAAGTGCGAAGGAGATGGAGATAAAAACTTTGATCCGCCGTAACTTTTTAACGAATGGTCCGATTTAAAAAATTTCTTCTACATTTCGATAGGTATTGATAAACACCATAAAACTGCATTTTTACTTTTCCGAAATATTGAAATTTTTAAAATCGTATACAAGCGATTGTGGGCGTTAGAGGGGGCGTGGCACCCTTTTGAAACAAACTTGCGCTGCGTAGGAGCTCCCAGAATCTGCATGCAAAATGTCAATCCTCTAGCTTTTATGGTTTCCGAGATCTCAGCGTTCATACAGACAGACAGACGGACAGACGGACAGACGGACAGACGGACAGACGGACAGACGGACAGACAGACGGACAGACGGACAGACGGACATGGCTAGATCGACTCGGCTAGTGATCCTGATCAAGAATATATATAGTTTATAGGGTCGGAAACGCTTCCTTCTACCTGTTACATACTTTTGCACGAATCTAGTATACCCTTTTACTCTACGAGTAACGGGTATAATTATTTAAAAGAAAATTATTTTTAAAAGAACAATTCCCCAATCAATAAATTCCCTTTCTAGTTTGGTATTAAAATATTGCAAAATTGCAGAATTGTACAAAAAGACTTCTTATCACCAATTCCATTTTGATGAAAGGGTATTCTAGATTACTATTAAGTACAATAAAAATTCCGCAATTCCCAATCTCGTAATAACCTTGCTGGAATTTCGCAATGTGGCGAAGATTAGAAGACCCCAAGATCTGCGTAGTAAGTGGTGATGACAAAGATCGCAGATCGCCGAAGATGGTTAGTCAGTGGCAAGTGGCATTGGTAAGAAGTGTTGGGCCCCCCTCTTTCCGGATGAGTCATAAACCGTTATGGGCTATGGGTTACGAAAACCGGTGGAGTGGGGAAACCGGTGAGTAACCAGGTAACCGGTAATCAGTCTCAATCCATCGAACCGTTCGCCTCGAGCTGCAGCCAGCGAATAACTGCAGTGCACCCACATAAAGTCGGGGTCTATAGCTTATACGATTCCAACTCTTATACGCTGCGAATGAAAACACAACATGTTCGAGTTCGAGACCCTCGCTCTCTTATAAATCCCCTGCTCAAGGCACGGCACTTATAAAAACCGGCTGTCTTCCCTTTCAAAAGTCAGTTGCGTGCGAGCCGCGAGCGCGAGATCATTGAAATTTCCAAAAATAAAACTGAGAAACTCAGACGCAGGTCTCGAAATAAACAGAAACAGAAACATATAGAAAAATATTCAAATTGTCGTGTGCTAAAGTGTGAGAAATAATATATCTGAAAAACAAGCTCCTGGATTTATGAGCACTACCAAAAAAGTTACCAATGTGTGAGATACAAAAAAAATCAAGTGAAAACCAAGCGAATATGCCAATAAACTAAAGACATTTGGATTACAAGAAACCCACGCATTTTGGATTATAACATTGCGAAAGGCAGAAAAACCTAAGGTAACCTTAATGAGAATAAATATAATGGGAATATCTGGGGGATACGCAGATACTAGATATGCAAGAAATGTGCAAATTGCAATAGAAATTGTCGCACAGCAGCGGCAAAACAAAAGCACTTAAACTTAGAGGCATAATGAGTTTGTTCAACCTGCAATGCTCTCTCTCTCGCACTTTTTACCTATTTTTTTAGGGGTGCGAGTGGTGCAGCAGAAAGCATAAAAAATGCAAATTACACCGCGGGTCATGTGAAACTATGCTAAAGTGACCAAAGACCGTAGAAAAAAGAAATATACAGATATAAATTAAAACTGCGCTTTCGACAACTCGTCTTCATGCTCGCCTGGTTATTCAGTGCAGTCTGCAATGGAAATTAATAAATTAATTTATTAATAAGCTCGGCAGACTGTGATTTCGTGCCTTATTGAAATTGCTATGGCAACCGAAAAAAAAACAAGCCAAGGCGTTTCGCCCACTCACTTCGCTTTTCGAGCAGTGTAGGTAGGTAGGCAGTCGGTGAAAAACGCAACGCGACTTAAAGAAAGAGAGGGGGCCATACGAAGTCGAATGAGTGGGAGTGAGAGAAACGCGTTTTTTGGAATTTTTTTTCTGTTGTGCAAGGCAATGAGTTCGTTTTTTTTTGTGTTTCTTACGAACAATTGTTTGAGGAATTTAAGAAGATTTGTGCTGTGACTGTAATTGAATCGAATGCGATTAACATAATTTGTGAGAGCAAATTACAATAATGCCTGACCATTAGCTGATTAGTTGGCCATTAGCGAAGATGATTTCAGGGCTAACAAAAAAACAGTGCAGTTTATGTAACGACGACATAGATGGAGATACAAAAGTATCTTCAAGTTTGTCCAGCTAATTTTAGAGACTGGGAGAAAAGCAAACTTGGCCCATCAAATTTTATGGTTAGCCGTTAGCCAAGCTGACCCAGTTTTCCCCTCAGGAAAAACCAGGAAGTTGCCTCGGAGGCATTGGAATCCGTGTCCCAGACCATAAACAAAATTCTTGGCCACAGAAAAGCATGCTTTTCCTCGCTTTTCCCTTTGCTTTTCTTTTATTTCTGCTGCATTTCCCGACAGACAGAAGTGAAGTGTTGTAATTGCTCTTGTTTCAGTGGGCCGTGCGTTTTATGAATAATTTATGCACTTAATTGATTTTTGTTTATTGTTCGGTTCAAGTTAATTAATTACCAACTTTATGTCTTTACAGAATTTCTTCAAAGGCGCCACAATGGAGAATCCCACAAACGAAACCAAGGTGGATTTGGAGCCGCAGGAGGAGGAGCATTCTACAGTCGTCGCCCCTGCAAAGGAGACCATCATAGACATTCCCGCCGCCTCCATTTCCGCATCGAACTCCTCATCCTACGACACGGATTGCAGCACGGCCAGTAGTACCTGCTGCACCCGCCAGGGGGAGCACATCTACATGCAGCGCGATGTAGCCCTTCCAGCCACGCCCCTTCCGGAGGCGGAGGATCTGGGTCTGCTGAAGTACGTCCACCGACAACACTGGCCCTGGTTCATCCTAGTGATCTCCATCATTGAGGTAAGCATTCGAAATTTACACATCCCATTAAATCAAAGAAGCCGCAAAGAAGCAAACTTTCATCCCAAGAGCGATAAAAATGATATAGGGACGAAGGGCGGAAGTTTTCCAAGAGTTTTCCTCGCTTTTCCCCGCTTTTCCTCGCCTGTTCATGTTTCGTTTTCTGCGTCTGACTCGCTGGCGCCCCCGAAAATCGATTGTAAACAAGTTGAACAACAAACAGCTGAAGGAAAAGCGAACAGAAAAGTATATGAAACCAGAAACCGGCAGTTTTTTAAGTACATTTTGGTGATATAATAAGAAAGGGGAAGATATAATAAGAAATTGTAGTTTTATAACAAATTTTGAAGAAGAAAGTTAAATATCCTTTTCTTAAATTATTATTGAATATATTTTTTTAAGAACCCCTAGTAATTTCTGGATATTACATATTTAAAATGAGTTACAACCTCTTTGCAGTACATGCCCTTTTACTTCCGTAATGGAAATGATTTGCTTCGCATAGAAACTAGCACGAATATCAAAATAAACCCACGGGGCGTATGAGAGTTTTAGTTTCAGTTTTTGAAGCCCTGCCAAGTTAGTTGGCAGGACTCGCCCTAAGCATTTTCATAAGACTTTATTTGGAACGCGGTCGCGTGCCAGACAGCAACAACATAAATCAGTGTGTGTGTGTACCCCAAAACTAACCCCCAATCCCTATCGCTTCTGTCCACTTTTTAGATTGCCATCTTCGCCTACGACCGCTACACAATGCCCGCCCAGAACTTTGGGCTTCCCGTGCCGATTCCCTCGGATTCGGTGCTCGTCTATCGCCCGGATAGGCGGCTGCAGGTGTGGCGCTTCTTCAGCTACATGTTCCTGCACGCCAACTGGTTCCATCTGGGCTTCAACATCGTCATCCAGCTGTTCTTCGGCATTCCCCTGGAGGTGATGCACGGCACGGCCAGGATTGGTGTCATCTACATGGCGGGCGTCTTTGCTGGCTCCCTCGGCACCAGCGTCGTCGACTCGGAGGTGTTCCTTGTGGGCGCCAGCGGTGGCGTCTATGCCCTCCTGGCCGCCCATCTGGCCAACATCACTCTCAACTATGCGCACATGAAGAGCGCATCCACGCAGCTGGGATCTGTCGTCATCTTTGGTGAGTTTCGCTTCTGTTTAACCTTTGAAATAAAATCGATTAGAAACTGTCGTTGTAACTTCACTTCATTATGTTACTTACCTTCTTCATAAAACGCGAATTCTTCAGCTTTTTTAAAAAACGTAAATTCTTTAGCCAAGTTTTGAACCATTTTTCCTTTTAACTAAACGCGAATTCTTCAGTTATTTTCCTCTCAATTTTTTGTCCAATATATTTATGATTCTTTCGACTAATGTGCTTGCTTATCCATCTTTTTTTAACGCGAATTCTTTAGTATTTTTTTCTTTTTATAAGTTTATTTATTTTTTAACGACCCAACTAACTTGAATCCTTTTCCTTCTTCTATTTTTAGTCTCCTGCGACCTGGGCTATGCTCTGTACACCCAATACTTCGATGGCGGCGCCTTCGCCAAGGGTCCCCAGGTGTCGTATATTGCCCACCTGACGGGAGCTCTCGCGGGACTCACGATTGGCTTCCTGGTGCTGAAGAACTTCGGCCATCGGGAGTACGAGCAGATGATCTGGTGGCTGGCTTTGGGCGTCTACTGTGCCTTCACCGTCTTCGCCATTGTGTTCAACCTGATCAACACGGTCACTGCTCAGCTGATGGAGGAGCAGGGCGAGGAGATCACCCAGCATCTGCTGCACGATTTGGGAGTGTCCTAAATATGAGATGAGGAATCATCGGTATCCAGATCCAGAGTCAGATGCAAATTCAGCAGCTTCAGGAGAGATCGAGAGACAGAGAGTTGGTGGAAAAGAAAAGTTCACTCAACGATTTAGTTCAAAACTAAATTCGAAATTCGTTTGGCTTTTGCTTTTCGTTAGCATTACCGTTAATCGTTACCGTTTGCAGTTACCGTTTAACCGTTTCAGTTCCGAAACACCGAACACAAACTCAAAAACTCAAAAAAACTAAGAACTAAAAAAATGATGAGAAGAACATAAACATAAACCGAAGCCGAAACGTGTAAACAAATGTTGTGATAGAACCAAAGACTGAATTTATTTCGCGTGTAAAAACAAAGTAAAAATCAAGAGGAAAAAAATCAGAAGAAGAAACAGAACAAATCGCCTCTCGCTATGATTTAAATTAACCCATTATCCCATGTTTTCGTTTAATGGTTTTTAATTTCTGCCTGTTTTCTTAAATTATCTATTTATTGGCCGCAATTAACTCTGAATGAATCGAAGCATCGGCAGCAAAAACACTGTATCAAATTGTTTATACATCCATAAGCATAATCTGCTCTCGAACTATGTAGCTCGTAGCGATTATATATATTACATATATATAACTAGGTATAACTAGCCCCTAACAAATTGTTTCAAATTGTAAATACTATTAAGTCGCACACTAGTCAACAAAGAACAACAAAAAACGATGGGGAAACCACAGCAAAGAACCATTCAATTCAGATCAATTAAGCAAATCGAATTAAATTAAATTAAAGTCACTTAATGCGTTACAAAATCGAGCAAACATTATCGTAATCCCCCTACACACACAGACACAAAAGTATTACTAATTATATTTATTTATTGTAGGGCAGCGAGGGTTTATTAATTTGTCAATCGAGCCAACTATTTATTTATTTATTTAATAATTTAGTGAAATTCACACAAAACAAAAACAAGCACGAAAAAACAACAAAAACAATGCAAGAGAGAAAAAACAAACCAATTCAACTGTAAAAATAATACAATTCAAAAAATACACACGAAAAGCCAAAGAAAATAAAAATCAAAACATTTCAAGAATACAACAGAAATACAACAAAAGCCTTTTCATTTCCCATTTCATTTTTCTTTTCAGTTTTTCAGTTGCCACAGTTTGGTTTTTGGCCACAATTTAAGGGCAATAAATAAACGAGCAAGAGAAGATTATCAAGATACTTGATACACAGATACAAAGTCGCCAGAAAAAATATATATAGACAGCAATGTATATCTCGTACGCAAATAGAGAAATAGAAATATTCAAAGTAATCGCAGAATGAAAATAGCTAATCTGGCATAAAAGCCAGCAAAGCGTAAGCCAAAATAGAATCCTTGCGGGCCCCCAAAAAAAAAAGAACCCCAAGATAGCATATTCGATTTTCAAAATAATGGAACCACACACAACCAATCCCCAAACCCCTTCCTCTCTTCACCCAAAAAAAAAGGAAACTAGGAAACGGAAATGTTCAGCACGAGACAAGAGAAAACCAAATAGCAAAAAAAAATTATAGATAAATAAATAAACAGAGAAAAATTGAACAAAAATAAATGTCTAAATTATAAATGAAATTCTCGTTTTCTTGATAAATAACTCAGGGCGGTTAAGCACACATAAATGGGAAGTTTGAGGTGGGGGCGACGACTCAATCAATATTTGCTCCACATAAATATGAGTCGGAATTCAAAGCGAAAGACTGCAACTAAAACTTGAGGAAAATCCTTAATTAATACCCACTCCGCAGAAGGAGACTTGTGTGTGTCAACGAATTTTCCGCACTCCACACAAAAAGGGTGCAAAGGCAATCGATATTTGGTCTATATTGGCTGAAGTCGTGGCAAATTGAAAATCCCCCATGAAATATGAAGGCCTATCATAAGAATTTCGTAATAATTCATAATGTCGTTCGATATCGCATTCAATCCTGCCGGATTAGCAGGACTTAAGTCCATGAATTTTCTAGTAGGCATTCCACTCGAAGGACTTTCCCCGAATCGAAAATCATCTTTAGATATTTTTTGGTTACTCGACTAAAAAGTACCTCTGGATAAAGAATATAATGAATTTTATTTTTATTTAATATTTATTCAAGATGTTTACGGATTAATTCAAATTTGTGAAGGATGTTGAATTTATAGAATGTAAATTATATAAAAAACTCTTATACTGAATTTAAAATATTTATAAAGCTTGTTTTAGATGCCCGGCTTATGGAAATTATTCTACATTTTTAAAGGATGTTGAATTTATAGAATTACAAAATATTGGAAAAATACTTTTACTGAATTTAAAATATTTTAAAATATCTGTAAAGCTCTTCTACTCAAAATTTACAGGGTAATCTCAATTTTTAATGGATATTAAATTTATAGAAATTAAATAACTTATACAACTCTCTATTAATTAAGCTTTACAGGGTATAATCTTCATTTTTGATGCTCCCAAAGTCTCATTTATTAATGATGCATAATCAAAGATGCTTTGCTAAATCAAAGATGTCTGATGACATAGCCGAATAAATAAAACACTCGAAGATTAGGCAAGGAATTCAGTTGAATTCCTCAATGAACAGGCAATAAAATGTATACAAATAAATAAATTACTACAAAAATTAACAAACACCCTAGGTCCTGCTAATTTAGTCACTAATTTGCAATTAATTATTGCGCATAATCAGAGCTGCCTGATTGCACCCGCCAATTAAATTCCAATTAAATTATACAATTAGCAAGAGGACAGGAAGACAGCAAGGAAGTGCCAGGAGATATTCCAGATAAAGCAGATGTGACTCCAAAACGGGGGCAGCACAAGCTTAGTACCTCTCTGGATTTTCGGGGGCGGAGTAGACGACACTTGCAACTCCCATTGAAGTCTTCTTCAGACAGACAGACACAATGCCAAAGCCAAAGCCAAACCAAACCAATCCGAAACGCCAGCGGAGAGTCAAGTCGAGTCTAGGAGGCAGTTGGTGGACCAAGATTTATGGTAGACAGGAGCTGCCGCCTCGTGGACATCAAATTGAAATTCAGGCACAATGTCAACAGCAATCGGGGACGAGGTCAGACAGGCTCAGACGACGGCGGCTGCTATTGCGATTGCGACTGCGACTGCTACTCGGTATCCACACAGAGCTGCTGCCCGCTGAAGCCGAAAAATCCACATAAATAACGCGGGCATCCAACTGCCCCCCATCCTTGCACCCTGTGTTCCGTTCTCGTCCAGCTTGTTTCTGCGAATGGCAGGTGCAACTCAATCAACGCTTCACCTCGCCGCTCCTCCGCGGTATTTTGCCACAACGTTGCATGTCATCTGGAGCGACGGAACAGCGGAGCTGTGGACAGAAGCTGCGGCTTCGGCTGGGAGCCACCTGCCCAAAAGTTGACTTTGGACGTTTTTGTTTACATTTGGCGGAAAGGTGAAGTGGCATAAAATGGCATGGAATGGAGTCAGCAGAGTCAGAGTTAAAGTCAAAGTCAGATCCAGAACTCAACTGAGGAAGCTGGTGGTAGCAAGTTTCGAGTGGGTATCACAGATCAACGATCTGCGGCCAGAAAGACCTCCGTCGAGAACCTCCAAAGGGTTCAATGTTCCTCAAAGAACTCGGCAAAGGGAAGCGATGACCCGAAAGAGGTGCTCTTCATCGATGAAGGTTTCGTTAGATCCGAGAACAAGTATTTATCTTTTTCTTTGAGTGGAGGGAATCATAACTAGAAGTAAAGGTAAGCAAAGTTTATTAGTTTATCATACTTTTTATAAAGAAGTAAGTAAAATCTTTATAATTTTCAGATTTTATTATAAGGAACCTTTAAAAAATATATGTAAAAATCTAAAAACATTTTTTAATCGAATAATAACTACAAAATGACTATTTTTTACTAAAAATTGAAGGAGACTAGTTGAAAAATTAATAATAAAATTCATAATAAGTTCTAATCCTTATAAATCATTTCCTATTTTAAGTTTATTCAACTTTAAACAATAAAAACAACCTTTAACAATCGCAAGTCTTATAAAATAGTTATTAAGAGATACTTAAAGACCACCAGAAATTTATTTACTATCAAACGAACTCCATAAAAACCAGCAACCTTGTAAATAACTGCTGAAAGACGTTCTTCAAGAATCGCAAAGTTCTCCCCCAATCGGTTTGAATGAATCTAAAGGGAATGCCGATGAAAGGACCACCTATCAAAGCATATAACCTTATCGAGGCGACGACGAGTGCTCCTTAATGTGTCGAGACTTTGACCCTGAGAGGCAATTATCCCTTCTGGTCGATCGGTTTGATCGCCCTGCCCGGCATGACTCCTCGCCATCGACATCGAGCGTTTTGCGGCTCAATTAGGCGGCGGAGTTTCTTCATCTACCTGATTTTTGAGGAGTCTTTGGAGAGTACAGAGGCTACCCAAGTAGCAGCACGCTGGGGCGCTAATTGAAGGGAACGGCAAACGGCAATGGCAAAGGTCAGAGAAATGAGAAAACCACCTCGCTTCACCGATCAGAAGCCTTCATTAATATCTAACTATTCTAATCCTCGCTCAAGGGCAACATTCCGGAATAGTGGAGCATTAGTTTCAGACGAAAGGCATCCACTCCATTCATATAATAACGCAATAGACGCTTTTCCCTTATGAATCCTAGACTTTGGTACAAAGCCAATGCTGGTTTGTTGGTCAGCTCCGTTTCCAGGGAAATCATGGCGGCATCCCTCATCGCCATGGCTTCTATGGCCATTTCGGAGAGGGCTCTTCCAATGCCCCGCTTCCTGTACTCCACATCCACCGCCAGCATGGCAATGTAGCCTATCTGAGCTCCCTCGATTGTCGTTTCCAACTTGCAAACAATTACGCCCACATAACGATCGCCATCGAGAGCAAAAAAGCAAAGATCTGGCCAATTGTAGACAAAGTAGCGATAGGTGTAAATGGAGTAGGGTTCCGAGAGCTCAGAGTCGATCAGACGCTGGAGCACCTTTAGCTGCGATTCATCTTGGAAGACGCAGAAGGTTAACTGGTGCTTCTCTTTGGATTTCGAGTTATCCTTCTCCCCAAGAAAGGATGGTTCTATCTCTTCCACAGAAAGAGGGAGATTCTTCTCTGCAAAATCCAATTCTTCTTGATGGGTTGAGTGATTCTTTTCCACAATATCGGATATCTCCACAGATGAATTGAGTTTATGTTCTACAAGAAGTGCTTCCGATACATCATCTCCCATTGTGGACGATTGTGTTGAGTTTCTTAAAAAACAAGGTAATATTTCGAATTTTTAAGAACAGCTGACTAAGGAAATTGCACATAAATAATAAAACATGAGAGATTGATATGTATTAATAATTACAACAAATTGGCATTTACATTTTTTTTAAATCTGAAAAGATGTGGGCACCAGGGCATTTTTAAGGTCTTAAGGAGTAACGGGTGTAAAAATATTTATTAATGTTAGCCAAGCATTTAAGAAAATAAATCAACTTAATTAGTACTTCCAATAAATTTATGAATAGTTTCAGAACATTCCATATAGAAAATCCTATTGAAATAAACTAAATAGGATAAAAGTATACATTACAACAGTGATTTAAGGTATATAATTTGAATATATCATATCTTAATAGCATAATTTGCTAGCCCAGCCCAAAATATGAACAGATTGCAAGGAGAAACCGCCGCAAGTGAGTGAAAATGTCGTGAAAATTCCTGGCGCGACCTTGGGTGGCAAGGCACTCGCACAAATCCCAGCAGGTGACAGTCGGCGTGGCAGGCTCTAAATAGCATTACCCTGACTCCTGTCACGCTTACCACTTTGCCCCGTTTGCTCCTCCATTCAGGGCAATTAAGAGGCACGCCTGGGACAAAAAAACAGAAGCAGGATCCAAGGGAAAGAGGGAAAACTCCCCCCTTAGCATGTGAAAATTATGAAAATGTCTGCCACGACGACGACTTTGACAGTTGCCCTCGAAGAGGAATCCTTTGTTGTCTGTGCCAGGATGATGACGAGAACGAGGACGAGGAGGAATTGCCGGCAAGCACGCACAGGTGTATCCCGATCCCTGTGAGCTTCCACCTGGTGGGTGGTGACAGCTCTGAGCTCCTGGGCTCCCAACCCTCGGCTTTGCATATATGAAAACTAATTTCGTGCATTAGGTTCGTGTGTTGATTGTGTTTCCCGGTCGACTTGCCCTGGCCTTACTTCCCATTTTACATCCGGATGAGGAAAAGCTCCCTTCGAATGACCTCATGTGACCAATGGTTAATGGAGGGAATGCAACAGAAGCAATTAACCTAAAAGGCCCATAAAGGACACATACAGGACATCGTTTTTGGGGGTAACTCAATACGGGCTTTAAGTCATTTTCCTGTCCGTAAATCAGATTAGCTGGGAGGCTATAACTATATAACATTGCTTGCTTACTTACCCCGCTTTTTGTTTGATTTGCGTCCTGGTTTTTCGTTGTTTGTTTGACCAAGGTGTCCTGGCAATACTTCCTTGGGAAATCCTTTAGCTTTAATTATTATTGGTGCGACGCGAGTTTGTTTATTGATCCAGTAAATTTGATAATTTCGATTAACACGTTGGTTGTTTGGATTTATGTAGGTAGGAATTAAAGGGAAGGAATTTTTAATTTCTGTAAATTTTATTTTTTTTCATTATTTGAATTCATAACTACACTCCCTTTTGATCCACTAAATTCGATTGTTTTAATTAACACTTTGCTTCGGATTAAAATAGGGTTTTTTGACCAATTAATTAACATTTTAACGGATACGAATTTGTACATTCCCTTTAAGTTATTTTGTGGCCAATTCCTTTGGCATTCTTTAGCCTTATCTTTTATGGCAGCTCTTTTCATAGCTATTTATGGAGTTTCATTATTTGAATTCATAACTGCACTCCCTTTTGAAGCTCCAGTTTCTTTCTGCAGACTTCTTGTGTTATTATCCCCGCCACTCGACGACTCCCTTTTTTTATAATTGCTCCTGTGGCACGGAAAACCCTTCCTTCCTTCTCCACCACGGTTTCTAAGCTTTTTCAAATACCCGACTGTGGCAGAAATTAATTACACCGCCAGGACATAAGGGCACTTGGCCCAGGACAGCGGGAGTTCATGGAGTGTTTAATGAAGCGGTTTAAGTGGCGGCAGAGGGAGTCTCTCCCTGAAAAAAAAGGCGGCCAGGGCAACACAAATTTCCATATTTGCCACAGTAACAATTGCCGTCGCCGGCGTCTAGTGAGATAAATGGATGGAGGACAAGTCCTGGGGCCTTTTCCTCTTTTCTTTCCACCTCAAGTGGACTCTTTTTGTGTCCAGTGCATTGAGGAGTTGGGGCTTTTTGGCCGGCTGGTTCTGCCAATATTTCAGTTGGCCTTATGACAGCTACAAGTGCGCCCCTTGATAAGCATTCCCGACGATCCCATCCCATCCCAGTCCCCATGTCCATGTTGCGGATAAAGCGACGACAACTGGACGATGTGAGATGCGAGATGTGTGAGGTTTCTTCTTCTGGGCAAGAAGACAAAAGGCAGGTTGCCAGTTGCAGGTTGATTCCTCGCGTGGGTCGAGGCAGTCCACATGGTCGCGTGCTCCATTGTTTGTGTCTTCCCTGGAATTCCCCGATTCCGATTCCGAATCCGCATGAATATGTCAATGTAATGATCTCTCCTCTTCTGGTTTCTTCTGGTTGCCCCCCTCTTCGCATCTGTGGAATTACATAAATATTAACTTGTACTTTTTATAAACATGTTTTGCGCACCACAAACTCTGAGGATCGCCGAGGTCTCCTGGTCTCTTGTTGGAGATTCCGAGCGGAGGAAGGCTTCGATTGATATGATTTATACACTGACGACCACTAACCACTCCAGACTGGCTTCATTCCTGGCGAATAAGTTAAGTGCCGTCCAGCAAGTTAATCTATTGACTAAAGGCAAGGCATTAAACCTGATCTTAAAGTATTCTTAAGGAGCGCAATCGCATTAGAGGCTGCGCTACAAATTACGTTCTGGTTTTTACTTAGTAATTTACTTTATTTCCGATACTATTTGGAGATATGAAGGGTGTTCAATAAATTAGCTTTAAATAAAAAAGATATATAGAAAGACAAAAAAAGTATTAAATAACTAGTTAATTTTTCTTAATTAATGATTCAAAAAGTTAAAATGTTAAATGTAAAAACATTTTGTAAAACTAAAATGTATTAATTACCCCAAGATTAATGTTTTACCTAAGAAATAAAAGTATAAATATTAAAAAATAAACATAAAATATTTAATTAAATTTCATTGAGTAAATGTTTTGAAAAATATATTTTATTTAGGTATAAAAAGTGGGTTTTTAAATATAAAAAACAAAACAAAATAAATTTATTATTATACTGATTTAATAATAACAATAAATATACTAATACATTTTTTTTATTTTTCATTATTTACTAAAATGTAATTTTGAAAATTAACAATTAAATCAAAAGTACAGTTTCTTACCACTTTGCTATTATTTTCTTCTTCTTTTGAACAAGCTTGTGCAAGTCGCAGGGCATAAATAAGTATGAATATAAGCCCAATCCCACATTAATCAGCGTCAATGGAGGCGGAGGAGCTCCTGTCCACCGGATCGCTAAAAGGACTCAGTTGCGTTCCTGTCACATTTTGCATTTCCTTTGCCCTTTTTTCCGCATTTTTTCCATCATTTTTTGCTGCTTCCTGGCGGAGCACCTCCCGCGAAAATACATGTGACAAGACTGACGAATGACTTGACGGCGAAATGTGCTCAAACAAACATAAATTCCGTGTCCGCCGGGATTGGGATTTGTTGACTGCTCCTCCAGCCGGCTGTCCCGATGTTCTCCCAATGTCCTGGCCAAAAACACGCAACCGAGAGACGCCGGAAAAGCCAAAGTTAACACACGAAACGAAGGATTGGCGCAGGTGCGCGTGTCGCGTCGCCTGAAATTGTAGTTTTTTGCCAGCGGATTGTGTCATAACTCACGGAAATGATAAGGATGGATGGCCCCGCCTTATCGCCCACCTCGCGAACCGGTTAAAACGCACTATAACACTTTTTTTATCCGAATTAAAGGAATTTTCACGAACGAACTAAAAAAACCGACGCCACGCGATGCGTCCTTTGAGGATCAGTGTGTCGACACTGCGATCACACAACCAGGTGGCAACGCTGTCCTTACAAAACTTTAACTCATCATCAGTTGGCAGCCCTGTCTTTAACCCTTATATATCCAGTAATTTTTTCTAATTTTAAATTCCATTTATATTTATTTACAAATAAAACAAATTGTGTAAATACAAAATATGTAAATTTATTCTTTTCTCTGTTTGGTGCTTGATCTTAAGTGTTTTCTTAAAGCTGGCAGTGCTCATTTACGCTCGGCTATATCAAATTGAAACCGATTTATTTAAACTTTTCGGATCATTATTTAATATTATTTATCAGTTGCGGTCTTGAGGTAGTTATCTCAATTTGTGTTGTAAGGCCTGTGAATTTAGAATAAATTGATTGCTTTGCCAATATCGGTTTCCATATAGCCTTTTTTATTTGTATTTTACAGCTTTTATATATAAAGTCTTGTGATTCTGCAGTTATATTTAAGTATATATAGAAAATGTGGACTTCCTTGAGCATTATGTTACACCTAATCAGTTCGATTTGTTGTAAATATTCTCTTACAATTCTCTTACAATATAATGTTTGTACTTAACTAGCAAACAAAACGAAATTATTTACGTAAGCATACAATGAGATATATATATCTGATTCTACAGATACAGTTGCCAACAAAACAATAAACGCGAAACTTAATCGACGTCCAAAAACAATAAAAAAAAAACTTCAACGAAACGCTATGAACATAATAAGTAAGCAAAAATGAATGACAAAACAAGGAATGAATTCTGGTCATCCTGTTTGGGGAAAATCCTCCTGGGATTTCACACCTGGAAATCATTGAAATACGTTTCCGTCACTCGGATCTTCTCCACGCGAATATTGAACATGGCAAATCCATTCATAATGTTGAAGGCAATGGCAAAGACCACCAGCGCTGAGTAGGTTCCCAGGGCGATCCACCAGAGGAGCTGCTCGTGGAGCTTCTGCTCGAAACTCTTAAGAACCAGCAGACCGATGGTTAAACCAGCTATGGCTCCAGCCAAATGGGCCACATACGAAACGGCGACCACCGTTTCAGACTGATCAATGGCCAGGAATTCACTAGAAGATCCCAGCTGCAGCTCATCGCCAGCGTAGCGCGCATAGATGGCAAAGCCAAAGTCAAAGGAAACTATAAAAAGATAGAAAGTTCCATTACAATCTTTAAAAATAACTCCTAGCTCTAATATAACCCACCGAAGACCAGTATATGCAGCAATTTGATGACTCCATATCTCATCTGGTGATAATTAAGCAGGACATTGGCCAAATGGGCGGCCAGCAGAGCGTAGACTCCTCCACTGGCGCCCACAAGGAAGACATCCGGATCAAAGATGCTAGTGCCCAGGCTGCCTGCCAACACTCCTGAGAAATAAATGCAGGCGATCCTCGTGGAGCCATGGACCATCTCCAAAGGCAGGCCGAAAACCAGCTGCACTGCCACATTGAAACCAAGATGTAGCCATCCGGCATGAAGGACCATGTAGAAGAGGAAGCGCCAGATCTCATGTCGCTTATCCGGGCGGTAGATGAACATGGAGTCCGAGGGAATGGGTCCCCTTGGAGCAGCCTCTCCCGTCACCACTGAGTGATATACAAAGAAACCAAGCTGGGGAAAAATTAATGTTAGTTTTATATATATTAAGAGAGGTTTTATCAACTTACCTCCACTACAGTGACCAGGATGATGAAAAAGGGCGGCGGACAGCAGGTGTAGCGATCGGCGTAGTACTTGCGATCCCGCTCCTCGGGCAGGATCTCCATGGCCACGGCATGCACCATTTTGCGGAAGAGTGGCGGTTCGTTGAGCACTAGCTGGAAATCGTTCTCAGAGCAGACTTCACGATCTCGATGGTGTACGGCGCATTTGAAGCTACGGGTCCGCTTGCCGCTCATCTGAAAGTAAGATTCATTGGTTAATTAAATAATCAGATACACTAAATGTGAAAAATAATATTCTATTATTAATAGAAAAACACCTGTAATCAGAAAAGTTAATTTTGTAGGTTAGTGACATTTCTAGCTAAGGTAATTCGATGATTCCTTGTGTAAACGGTTCTTTGAAATAAATTCCATTCAGTTATTATATTATTTAATTTTTTATTTATGATCTGTACTGTATGAGACTTTTAAAAATATTCATAAAAATATATAAAGTATTGGAAATAAAAAAAAAAATTTTTTTGGGCACTTTTAAAAAACTAGGAGACCCTATAGAACTTCAGTCCCTTGACAACCTCACTAAAATTCGTATCACGAATCGTAATCTAGAGAACATATTTTATAAAAAAATTCAATTTGTAGTTTTGCACGTCCTTTTCAAAATGTCGAAAATTTATCTGAAGGCCATGGAGGAGGTGGTGCAGCGGAACAACGAAAACACGAACCGGATTACGGAACAGGCCCAGGGATTCGTGGTGTCGGAAAATGCCACCGATAGTCTGCTGCACACATCCTTCGATCTGACCACCGCCCAGTCGATTGTGAAGCACCTGCACTCCAGTTTCCTGAAATTGGCCCAGAGTTGCGTTCGTGATTTGGATCCCGAAGATAAGCTGTGCTTCCTGCGCGTGAAAACCCGCAAACATGAGTTCCTGGTTAGTCCGGAGGAGGTGTTCACTGTGACCGTGGTGTTGTAGCCCCCTTTGCCCACCGAAGGGTTAATGAACAATGTTTACACACTAGGAAGGAGGAGTAAAAAGGATAGAAACACACCCACTACTGCTACTGCTGTCTCACTCGCTCATTGATGGTGTTGCTGTTGTTGTTGTGCAAATTGCCGGTATTCTTTAACCCCCCGAAAACCCAAAAAACTAAACGAGCCATAAAATTATGAACATAACATTTATGCGTGTGACCCGGCCAAACTAAATTATGTTTATTATGTAATTAAGATGTTGGCACATAGATGCCGATGTCTCTCGACCATTAAAAATAACCACGAGAAGCGGGCAAAAATCCGCAAAAAGCGGAAAATGTATATTGTGTTTAATTAAAAGTGGGGACGGCGCATCCAAATGAAGCCTACACGCAATTAAAATGCCCGATTACGACTGCGAAAGAAGAAAAAAGGCCACAAATTAAAAGAGCTTCGGCCTCAGGGCACAAAATAGTTACTTCCGCCAGTCTGGGGGAGGGGAAAATTTATGTATCTTCTTGTTAATCAGCGCTAGTCGGCCAGTTTTAATGGTAGTAATTATCAAATTTGGTTTTAATTGATAAATTTCCTCTTGACAACTGGAAATTGTAGTAGTTGTAGATCAGGTGGCAACACTGGTCGGTGTGTGGGTGTGAGTGTGTACTTTAACTTTAAACAAAACGGTAAATTGATTTGATTGATAAATCATAAACTTACGCGGTGAAATCACAGATTGCTTGCTAAATTCCTTTAACTTATTTATTAATTATCCATTATGATTATTTATTAAGCACAATTAACACTTAACATTGAGGAAAACGAACGATTTTACAACTTTCCCGCCAGCGTGCGTAAGTTTCTTTCCACGCTCATTCCAGTTCCATTCCAGCATTCCATTGAAACCAGGGTTGTCAAAACAGTGTTGCACAAAGATCAGCTGATCTAATTGAGAACGCCGAAGATCAAAAATAATCCGATTTTACTTCCGAGATGACTTTCCCTTCCGATTTGGGCCAATTTCTGGGTATTAAATTGTTACGATTCGCAGACAAAGAGCGCTGAGAATCTGTGTTGTCAACAATGGGAACGCACCGGACACCCACACGCATTGTAAACGGGTGACAAATCGCATTTTTCGGCAAGATCAAGCGATCACAACAAAGTGCCAACAGGGCCAAATAGGGGAAAATTGTATTCCCAACAAATAATTGCTTATCGTTTGTTTGGCGGACGCAGGCTGCTGCGGCTGATAATGTCATTATCCTGGACGCAAAAAGGAGGCAAAAGGAGCCGGAGTCCTGCTCGCCGCATGACGTCACCAGGTAGGCGACTACCCTGACATTTAACGGTGTTAAAAGCATACACCACAGTCGGGGGCGTAAAAGTAGGTCAAGTATTTTAAAACAATAAAATAATGTACTATTTAGATTTAACAAAAATCTATATATGATATTGCATTATCTATTTTGAGTGGATAAAACTGTAAAATTCTAATTTATGTATAATTGAACATATTTAAAAAGGTACATTTTATTGTTCATCAAACTATTAATTAATATGTTAGTATTTAAATGTTTTAAGCAATTTAAACATTTTATTTGCAAAATGGATTTTGTAAATTTTATAAAAATATTTAAGTAAAAAAACAGTTAAATCATAAAACATGTTCTTTTAAAAAAAGTCCTTTCTTGAAACGGATTTCAAATTTTTTGTAAATGTATTTTTAATAGAAAAAACCCTATAAACTTCTAAAAATATTATAATATATATTCCAAATGTAAACATTCCATTAACCATAAAATTTGATCCATTAATTTTATAATCCCTTTATAAACTCTTATTATTTTGACCATATCTGTACTTTGCTTTATTCACCTTTTGCAGGGCAGGCCGACAAATTGACGCAAAACATTTAACGCTGGGGATCTCGGAGTTGGGTCGGCGGACATGGTCAAACGGCAGACGGGAGCGAGGAGTGAGAGGTGAGGGGGACGGAGCAATGGGCAAGGAAAGGACCACAGGACGACGTTGGCGGTTCTCTCTCTCTATGAGCCACAAAAAATTCCTTTGAATTGCGTCCGTTGCAGCAGAAATACACAAACAGGACGATATGTATTTTCCCGTATATTTTTTTTTGTAGCCAGCGGCCTGTGGCTATGCGCAAAAAAGGACATCTCCTCCGGCGGCGGTTGCTCTACAGGATCGGTGGTTCGGAGGTTTTTGTGGGCCCTTTATTATGCATTGCGTACGGCCTTCTCGCCCGGCGTGTTGACATTTTTATTCCAAACAGTTGAGCAATATTTATAAACTGGCCGGAAAAAAAGGAGGAGGAGTAGGAGGAGGATGAGGACGAAGAGGAGGTCATGGTGCATGATGCATGCCCAATGGCTTTATTTCCGGGTGACCATGTAAAATGTCCTCGTGGCTTGCAGCTTATTAAATGAGCTATTTGATTAACATTGTTCTGCGCCTGCTGTTTCGCTAATGAAAGAACAAAAGCGAATATTTGGACTATGGGGACACCGAGGTCACAAGGCAAAAAACATTTTCAGGACATCTATTTTAAACATTTATCGAAAAGAATATGTTTTATATTCTACCCATGTAGCAAGCCTACACCCAAAAAAAAAATTAATAGATTTACTTTTAATGCTCGTATTAAAATTATACTACATTTAATTATGCAGTATTAATTGTATACTAAATATTATAAAGATTATATTTTGTAGGTTTTATTTTACACTAACAGTTTATATTAAATACTTCAGAAAGCATTACTTAAACCCTCATATTATTAAGATCTTTTTGTAATTCAATAGCTATATCTATAAATAGTATAATTTTATTTCGGTGTAAAAATATTCAAGTTATTTATGTACAAAGCTATTTCCATTTATTTATGGTAATAAAAATGATAAGAAAATATAGAAACATCAATCAGATAAGGATTTATGTTTTCTTTATGATTAGTTTATTATCCTTCCCTAACTTACTTTTTTTAGTTAGTAAAATATAACTATTGCATATTAACATAAAGAAAATAATATTTATCAGATGTTCCTAGCCCTTATTAAATATATAAAAATATATAGATATGTATTATAATATATTAACTTCCCACTAATAACAATAATCTTCATAAACATCCAACCGACACTAAAATTTCTCAATTAACCCTGAACGTACAATTTTCCCAGCCACTCAATTACTTTGTTTTTCCTTGGCAGCTTATTAAATGTCATATTTTGCATGCCCAGGAGCAGGACAAAGTCTCTGGATGTTGATGTTTACACTGGCGAAACACCTTGGAGACCTGAAACCAGATGATCTAATTGAATGACAATATTATTCCAAGGCCTAATTCAATTTGCATTGCTTGGGAATTGCTGCAGGTGGTGAAGGAGGAGCATGGAACATGGCTAAAACACGGGTTGAATCTTAAACAAACACGGCAATTACAGCAAACGGATGCACTTGTCTGGCCAAGTCATTTGGGCCCGGGTTTCAGCTGTAATTAGCCCCGGGATGAAAGGATGCGGAATGGGCTTCGGCTTCTGTTTTCTGGCCCTTCTTTGTCGGCCTCCTCGGGGGTCCCGCCTAATTATCACATTTTTACTCATTAAATTCACATTTGCTTGTTTTTCTCCCCCAGTTAGTTATTTTTTCCTTTTTTTTGGCAGGACCTGCTGCCTAATTACAGGGTAATCAGGCTTTCAGCCGCTGCGGCCACCGAATGATGATTGATTTTAGGTTCGAGGAGTGAGTAGATATGCTAAAAAGCCTGAAAAATTCCCTACTTATTCGCTATCAACTCATTTTCATTCCAGGTGACACATCTGTCCAAACGCGTGCCACAAAAAAAGTAAAGAAATGAGAGGAAAATACAAACAGCAGCTGAAATGGATATGGAAAGCAGCCCACAGTCGCCGTCAAGGAAAAAGCAAATCGAAAACTGATTTGGAGCGGAAGTTCGTTTGCACCTTTCTGCAGTTTCCTGTATGCCGATGATGCCAGAACAATAAACAAGCTGCGGCGGCGGCATCCACGACGATTCCACAATCTACAGCCACTTCCATATCCACAATCGCAATCAGAATCGCCGAGTGTTCTATATAGTACCCATAGAGTACCTTAACTTGTCTTGGCCTTTGACGCCGTCTTTTGTACTAAGAGAGTTGAGATGGGATTGGTATATGGAATATATGAAATGGGATTGAAGATGGAGACGAAGTCACCGCCCGTTGGCTTTTGAATGAGCTGCAAATCTAAAGCTATGTGCGATTTCACACAAGTACAGATTAAGGATATGCGTGTGCAGGCAGAAAAATAAAGGGGTACTTCTTATTTGTATTCAGTAATTATAAAAATATTAGTAAGTTAGTATTTATAAATATATTTAGTAATAATAACTGTACTTATATTTTTTAAATATTGTAAAGTCATAAGGATTTTTTTATAAATGCCTAGATTGTTCTTAAATTTTTTTTAAAAATTTATAAAATAGGAAAGCTTTGTTTTGGACATTTTACCTACACATTAATTACAAATTAACATAATATAAAAATTAAGGAAAAGAAGAAAAGCTGAAAATATGTATTAAGAAATACTAAGTCCAATTATAAATATTTTTCAAAATGTTTCAATTCAATTGCTGCATATGTTATGAACTCTAAGATCTTTCCTAGCAAATTTTCCTATTTTTATTCGACTTTTATGCATCATTGATTACATATCTCTAAGATTAGTTTAATATGCTTTGTAAAGAATCTATTTATACTAAATACTTATTGTTATTTCTACATTTTCTTTCCATGTATGCAAAAGCGAGGACCAAGGAGAAAGGATCCCTGGCAGCTGCTCCTTCGGAACGCTGTATTTGATTTGCGATTCGAGGCAGGCGGAAATGGAATGACACGCGAGGCACTCTTACTTTGTTTGACGATTGGCAAAAATGGTGCCTCCATTGCCCGACAAAAAACACAGAAGGAACGCCAAGAGAGGATGAAGGACCAAGGACCAAATACCCGTGAGCCGTAAGAGACTTCCACTTGAGCCGCACGCATTGTTTGCATTTGCGAGTCGAAGAAGGGGCGTGCTGGAAATCGGATATAGGATCGTTCTTGCGTTCTGTCGCTCGGGACAATCAAATAGCGCAGCGGAGTTTTCCAACCCACTGAGCAGCCGCAATCGGCTGGGGGAATCAGCTGCCTATTGCCTATAAGACGGGTTTACTATATACGAGGAGGAGATGAGGTATGAGGTGCCAACCCGAGCCACGCGTGTCCTATGGCCAATGGTCAAAATTGGACACTGGCCGTCTCATTAGCGCACCAAAGGTTGCAAGGTTAATGATGCGCACCTCGTGCTTGGGCTTCCGTCTGCCCATCTCCCATCGCCTACCTCCTCGGGCAATTATGCGACGCACTTGAGCTTGAAGAGCCACGAAGCAGTGAGAGTACACAGTAAGAAATTCAGTAGAATTATTTACCAAAAAAAAATAGTTAGAATAATCAGTTCAACCAACGAAACAAGGTTATTTCTAGAGTAGTAAGATAAAGTTATAATGATCTTTTAATTCCATAGTTAGGTTTAATAATTTTAAAATTAAATTATATGATTTGATAGGAATTAGAGCCCTGCATGAATCATTCAATTTTTGTTTTATCATAGTATGCCATGAAATTTCTGATTTGTTTAATTCAATTCTATGTGAAATAAATTGAATGTTGTTCTAATTCATTTCAAATTGAATGAATCGAATGAAATATTTTATGAATTGTTTGAATTTTTCAGATTTTTTTGTGTTTTCTTTTGAGAACAAAAAGTGGAAAATTTTTAACAAATCAATGTTAACTGCATAGTAAATAAAATTCAGGTAGATTTAATCACAAAATAATGGCCCTTTCTTCCTCAAAATAAATTGTCGTTTGAATTATTTCGGAATTCATGCCATTCATTCATTCAATTCTATTAAAGTCAAAATTCAAATTCATTCAATTCTATTAAACACAAAATTCTAATAAATTCATTCATATAACAGAAAAAAATTCAAAATAATTCATTGAATCCATTCATGCAGGGCTCTAATAGGAATTGCCTTCTACAAAAAGTATAGCCAGAAAAAGTCATGGGTCTCTAATATTATTTACTTGGAATTCTGAATTACTAGTTGGGAATTATAACAGAACTTGCATGTAAAGAAAAAATAAAAGCACAGGCAGAATAAACAGTTGGGAATTATAAGCTTTTGTTAGGAAAAATTCCCAAATAATTATTTATGATTATAATCATAATATGATGAACATTTCTCTAATTTCTTTAAGAACCCCTTTGAGTGATATTAAAATTTATTCTCTGTGCACGCGTAGGAGGAATGCAGTGGCCATTCAT